CACCACACTCATCAGACGAAACACGGAATTGCTTCCATTTCACGCCTATCTTCTGTGTGGTCGTGGTATTACACCGGGCGTGCCGGCCCAGCAGTGCTAAGATGTTAAAGCGGGCACTACCACTGAAAGCGGGCACTACCACTGAAATCTATCTTCTTTTGGTTATCTAGTTTTATCCCGATTGCCTTAGATCAAAGCGACGGTATTACCCGTGACGTGAGAAATAGATATAGTCAGTCATCGCAGGTTTTTTATCTCGATACTTACCTCGGTGTTGTAGTGTAACTTATTACCTCGATTTTCATAGATCACAACCAAATTTTGAGAAAAAAAAAATTGGAATGGTAACTAATGAGAATCGTATTTTCTAATTTGGAGAAACAGTGTTTTCTGCCGAAAACCGTTCGCCAAATTAAATATCTTACATACTTACCCGATTGAATAATAGATATATGTAGTTACATTTGTACTAAGTTGTTACTATTTCATAGCGCGTAAGTAGGTGAAGAAAATGAAAAGACCAGTTGTTTCATGTTTTTTATTCATTTTATAAAATTTTGTGACTAACCTGTATAAAACTCAAATATTTCAGTAATTTAACGTAATGCTAGTTACGAATAAACGTACCTCCAATAAAATTAAGTAGTAAATATAGCCCTTTACGTTGCGGCTTCAAATGGCGAGTGCGGTCGTCGCCTACGATGGCTTATTGCGTAAGGGCCTTAAAAATTATCATAGACCAATCCCAATAAATTAATTTTACATGAAAACATTAAATATAATCATTGACAATTTGCCGAAAGCTTTGGTATTTATAATTCTTATCCTGATAAATACTCGGAAAACATTTCATCTTAAAAAATGTTTCAGGAAATCACTTCTAATTATACAGTTTAAAATTAAACATTTATGAAAATAGGTCAAATATCTGAAGTCAAGGATATAAAATTTAAGGCCTGTCCCACTATTGTAAATTGTCTGATAACGATCCAACGTGTAAAATATGTGATGGATATATCGGATTTAGCTACCTGACAGTTACGTCATTTTTAAGATATCTGAGCCTCTATCAGCCAGTGGTGGGACAAGCCTTAAATATCGATCAGATCGGCCAGTAGTTAAATTAATCCAAAAAAGTTTTAATTTATAACATGTGTTTAAGTAGTGTAATTATGGTACGGATTTACGTATAAAAACGTTGCAATGTAAACAAAAAAACATTACATACGTTAAGAGCACGCGCACACCTTTGATTAAACTATCGAACAACTGTTTAGTCTTGCTTTGATTCCTATGAGTTTATTTGTTCTACTATTTTTAGTCCTGCAACTAATCAGTTGAATTTACTGCGAAACAATCGACAATCACAACGTCGTGCGATAGTTTAGTCAAAAGTGTGGGCCTGCTCCAAATCATTGGAGCGTGTTAATTTTAATTAGATTTGAAGCGATTGAAACCGATATAATCATGAAAAAATATACGTTCTATGGCGTTGAACAACTCAAGAAGGTCGAAATTTGACCACTTTCGAAACATTTTTAAGAACTTCACGATAAATGTATATACAAAAATTTAAGTGAATTCTAAAACATCCCGTGTTTTAACCCTAAATTAGTCGAATATAACCAGTCATTGGATTCAATCTGACGACCTCATTAATTTTAACCCCGTAGTCTAATCTAAGAGGCGAAGGTTATCATAGTATGATGTCTAACGGTTCACTACAGTGTAAATATCAAAGAACATTTGGGTTCATAAAAAAAACATAATTAAACGATATGAAATAACTAATTCCCTTGGTTCTTTTTGAGATTCACCATCGTGAAGTAATAATAAATTGTACTTTATCATTTGAATATTTAAACCTATGAATTCAAGACTTGCTTTAACAATGTCGTACCACATAAAATACAAAGAAAAGACATATTTAACATATCCATTTAAATCGAAAAACCCAAGAAATTAGAACCATTATCGATACTTCGAGATACCAAAAGGATTATGAGAAAATTCGCTATAAAAGTTTAGTAAAGCAAATTTATATCATAAACAAAATGTATAGCCTCTGCCTATTTAATATTCATACATAGCGCAAACATTTAAATAAGTATTGCCTATGTCAAGATAGTTCAGAAACAAGAAATAATAAGTTATTGCTGAGAGTTTAAATACGTATTTTTATCTCTTTTCTTTTGAAATGGAATGAGAAAGATGGCAATGTTTTTGTGCCAGTTTTTTTATTATTACGCTACTGAAGATGTTTCCAGTAAATTCAGTGATTTATGATTCATTACTATCTACATTAAACGTGTAATTTTTTGCATATTCTCTGAAGTACGTGCTTGACCTTACTTGAACCAAAGTTGTTTGCGTACTTAAATAATATATTCCATTCACGATATTACGCAATAATTTAGCATCACTAAAATTGATTATTTTTACGTGTATTGGCAGTGCTATTTCTCATTCCTATGCGTCCCAACCTCTGTCAAATCCACTACCAATTCCTATTCTTACCTTAGGGGAACTAAAATAAGGCGTCCGTACAGACTTTTGGAAATATGTTTGCAGTTATAAAGACTTGTATAGATATTCCCAAACCCAATAATCGGTACTTAAAATCATTATGTTAATTGTGTATAAACTATAAAAAGTCACCTTCATGTTAAGGTCACGACGTAATTGTAAAATAAGAAATAACATACAAACGAACTAAAGACAATGGTTTAACTTTTAGCAACAACTCACGTTATGTAATTCTCAAGAGGTTATACAAATAGCTTATATTCTAGCTAGTTGTTTTTGAAAATCACCCTTTTATACGCACACGCGTAATAATGTATAATACAAATGTATTTTTTTTATTTAATAAACTTAATTGTTTTAAATCGTATTTCGTATTAAGTAACCTAGAATAGGTACATCTTAATATTTAATTTGGCAACAGAAAACGGTGCAAGTTAATATTACCTGCGCAGTTGCTAAGCGTGGGTTTACACAGTCACGGCTTTATTATTAGAGAATGAAAATGTCCACATGTATATACATTTCCATCAATGGAAACAGCTTAAGCTAAACACATTAAATTTGTAAAAATGTAACAAGATTTATAAACTGTCCAGCTGCCTATAAAAAATAACAGCCTTACAAATAAACGCGGTATAAAGTTAACTAAAACTAAGTAGTACAAATTTTGCTTATACTCAGTTTATTCTTAAGTTTCTTTATATCGCGTTTATTTGTAAAGCTGTAAGAGTTACCCAAATCAGCTATTTATGTCAACTTATTGTTCCCTCTTGTAGATCATGTCTAGAGTTTTAAGGAAGAGTTCCGACGGGAGATTGCTGTCCGGAGGTAGATTCTGTACTCTTTGCACGACCGCGTCGTATCTCGCACGTTCTTCTTCGCGGTACAACTGAGGCAGCCCCAGTTGTTCGTAAAGCCGCTGTACACGTTCTACGTGAGCTGGCTCCTTACTCCCATAGCAGGAGACGAACACGTTCCTTTGAGAATCGTTGCAGCGCTGCAACGCCATTACCGCTAACCAAGAACATTTACCCTCTTGGATATCCGTACCGGCTTTACCGGTCACTGATTCCGATCCGAAACAATCTATGAAGTCGTCCTGTGTAATAATTACTAATAAGATATCACAAAAATATTAAAAAAAAGAACCATCAAAATTAAGAAACTCGTTTTCTTCATAACATATTTTAAATCAATCTTGTTTATTTTTAATTTCTAGAATCTTTAGTAATCCAAGACGGTACCATACACGAGTTATTAGCATCGAAATTTACTTATTAAAGAACAATATAAGATAATACAAGAAATATTAGAAAAGATTATGTACTGAGCTAAAAAGTGTTTTTATTCTTATTACTGCTATTTTTAATGGACACAATACAATTACTTCTCTATCAATCAAGAAAATACAAGTTAATCAACATATCCTTTTATCCTACTCCCGTAGGGTCGGCGGCCGTTATATACCAGTTAATTATAAATGGAAAAAGTTACACTTTGTGAGATAAAAAGAAAAATCTGTTAAATTTACCTGCATTTGGAATAAATGTCCGATTTCTAAACTTATCTCTTCAGCTATCTTGTGACTGTTGGGATCAGTGTTGTTAGCTAGAAGCATTCCCAAACAAATGGGTAGTTTGAATGTATAATAAGAAGTCTTGTATTTAACAATAGCATTATATCTATCTATCGTAAATAGACTGTAATCGTTCTTTTTCCTATGTGCCATTGTGTAATCTAGATGCTGTCCTAAGGCAGTGAACATTAGCGTCTGAAAGGAATATTTAAACGTTGAAAGAAAACCATTGTGAGATGACAAAAGCAAATAATTATCATAACATCGATGTTTATTTATAGAATACAATACATTATCTTTAGCTTTGTAAATGATTTTATTTTACAAGATATTGCTTGCGATTTCGTCCGCGTGGAATTAAAAAATAACCCCTTTACTTCAGCCTATGTTACTCAGTGATAACGTAGCTTTTTAATGGTGCAAAATTTTTGAAATCGACCTAATAGTTTTTGAGTTATTTCAATAAGAAGAAAATCCAAAAATACTAATAATTCCTCTTTATAATATTAGTATAGAAGTATAGATATTGTCTAGTATTTGCTTGCAATGATCTGCGAGGAAACAAAATACACTTTATAAGTAGTACATCTTCTTCTAGACTTCTACATCCGTGTCAAATTTGCCAAAGCCTTTAAGATATATATTACAAACATCTATCCATTTATCCCAACATTAGTATGACAGATTTAAGGTGTTATTGAGTTAAATTTAATTTAAATTTATTATTGAAAAATAAATCTGAACTCGGCTGCATAAAATCAGGTAGCTTAAGATTTATGTTACTAGACACTAGAATATATCTCAGGGCAATGCTTCCATAAATGTCTCATTACTACGAGAAAACTACTTCGATTTAACTATACCATTTGTCTTGTAATACGGCCTAGATAAATACAAATGTATATTTTATGTATTAAATATGCAAGCGAGCGTCAATATATCTTGTAGTGGAAAAGCATTAAAAGTTACGAGTGTGCAGTTTTACATAACACAAGTTTTTTTTCTCTACAATATAAGTAAAGGAAAATCAATTGTTTATTCTCAGCAGTACTAGCCTGTAGAGGTCATTGGAAACGTCTAAATAACAGAAACAAAACCACAATATCTTTTACATCTATAATAGAATATTTTGTATGTATTGTAATATACTTTGCTATGTATCAAAAATTATTAAACAATTAACTACAATTTCTTAATTTTATGTACAGTCAGCTAAATATAAATGTACACATTTACAAACTTGTATAAGTCTTCGTTTTTTTTTTGAAATATAAGGTAGCAAACGAGCAAGCGAATACCTGAATCCACCGAAATAAAAAGCGCTCATAGACATACGCAATTGCAGATGCGTTGCCTACCCTTAATTAACGGAGGAGGAGACGCACATAAAGAGGACATTTTCCTTCCTATGCGTTCCCTCCACTGCTAAATCGTTTTTTTTTTCTTTTTCCTTCCCATCCTTACCTCTTCAGAAAAGGGTAGAAAGGGAAAGGGACTAAAATTAGGCCTCCGGCACCACACTCATCAGACGAAACGCGGTTTTGCTTCCACTTTACGCCAGTTTTTGTGGTGATGGTATTGCATCGGGCGAGCCGACCCATTCATGCGAAGATGTCAAAGCGGGCTGTACCACTGTTAAAAATATCTGCACGTATTCGACACAAGTATGAAATCATAGTCGGAAGTATACGGATTCGTACATAACTAATTTAGAAACCTAAGGTACATATGTTTCTTAAGCTCTGTGTACATATTTATTCAGCTGACTGTACATTAACTATTCATAAAATTGTCTTGTTTCTTGCGACAACCAATTCTAACAATGTTTTGAACCAATTTAACGTTTGCAACATGCTCCTGTTTATTTTATAACATAATTCTATTAACTACCTTTTTAACATCAAAAATTCACCAAAAACGTTACTAAGAGATAAGTTTTCAATAATAACAATTGATACTTACTTCGTTAAACGAATTTACAATATGCGCGTACTCATTTTTGTTTCCGAAATGTATTTTCAATACTTCCATCATAGCGGTGTAAACAAGAATGACGTCATTAATGGCCCCCAAACCCACTTCCGGCAAACGGAACCAACAAGGAACCCCTCTACGGGTCGTGGATCCGTCCATAATGTCGTCTGTCATCAATAAATAGGCCTGCAGCTATACAAGAGAGAAAAAATCGTTAAATTGGTAAACTTACCTTGAAAACTTATCAGACGAAATTTTTAAATTGGAGTTGTCAATTATTTTCACCATGACATTAAAAATGTTTACATCTGATCTGGTTTAATAATGACTAGCTTTCGCCTGCGACTCTGTCTGCGTGGAATTAAATAAAAACAAAAGTGAGTAGCCTAGGTTTTCTACCATACTCTTCTATATCTATACCAAATGCCATCGTAATCCATTCAGCCGTTTAAGCTACAAACTCTTACAAACATCCATCTATCTAAACTTTCGCATTTATAATGTTCACCGTGAAAATAAAAAAAGAAAAACCTGTTTTTGTTTTAATGCAAAAAAGACTAACATTGAGAAAATTAAGACTACTACTGTGGCAAAATAATTACAAGAAACGGGTTTATCTGTAAGATATTTTTATTTTAAATTAAATTTATCATTGACATAATTAACATTCGTGTTTTATTTAATTACCTTTTCTTTCCTTTACCTTATTACCTTAAGCACGAAGAAAAATTATTATTGACTTAAAAATTATAGACTAACAAATTATCCGACCATAGGCAAGTCAAACCAAATTATAAAAGGTCACTAGCGACCTCCGGCAATGTCAAAAAAGTATCACAAAATCCTTGACCTTACTTGAAAATTGACAGATCAAAAAGGTTTTCATTAACATTGGGAAATTTAAAAAAATAAACACTTATAAGAAGAGTTGTTCACTCTTGAATGAATTAAGAAAACGACATTTTTAATTATTCCTCAATTCAACTCTATTATATTAATCACTTTTATCTCTATATTTTAATTAAATAATGCATTAAACAATTAAAAATAATGTTCTTAGAATATGAGGTCAATTTTAAATTCATTGGTTTTTAAAGATAAATTATGATTTCAAAACTCATGAAACTAGCTGTTACCCGCGACTATGCTTAGAGTTTTAAATTGTCATACTGCCTTAATTAAAATCTTCAGAAGGTAAATGACATAATTGTACTAACAGAAAATATTTCTCTGTGTACTATTATCTTAAATGTATATTTTTTTTATTATAAGAGGACAAACAAGTGTGAAACCCTGTGGTGACCAACAACATCCATAGACCTCCACAAAACCAATAGAATTATAAATAAATTCCCAGCCTTCGAAGAAATGGCACACTCACTTGTTATAGGACCCTATGGGCCTGTCCCACCACTGGCTGACAGAAGCTCAGATAGTTTGGAAATGACGTCACTGTCAGATAAGATATCAAAATCCGATATTTTCATCACAAATTATACATGTTATCAGACAATTTAGGACAGGCCCTGAGTCCTACTAGTTTGGAAATACCATCTTAATATTCTTGGCTTATTAAATTTTGTTTGGGATATTGTGATAAAACTTGTTTTACTCACCATTTCTACACACCATCCCATTATACGACTCTGTCTCAATGATTCTTCTGTAACATTTTCTGGTTTTTCTAACATTTCATATGCTTGTGCTGTTATAAGTCCTCTATTCTTCTTTCCACCAGCTAAGTTATAATCTAGCACCTGTTACAAAATCATTATTTTTATAACTATTTACTTCAGTATAATACTATTGAGAAAACAAGGGAGTAATTTTATATTTATTCCAGTTTTGAGTAAGAGATATGTACATATTAAAGGAAAAACTATTATTATTTTCCATACCTTCTTCATCCAGATTGAAAACTCTGGTACTTCTAATAATTTTGGTATTGTAACTATTGATTGGATGACATTTGGAAGGACATCTTGAAAAGTCTCCTTTTCTTTTTTCAGTTCAGATATGGATACATTTGTTGCCATTTTACAGTTAGTGATCTTCAAAGCACTAAAAAAATAAAAAAAAAACCATAAAGAAAAGCTAAAAGTGTAAGGATCTAAAAAATCGACAACAGCAAAGACCTCACATTTAAATTACAAAGATGGTATCAACTCTCAGTACGAGATATGAAAGTCAAATGAACACCATGAAGATGGGTCACTAAAGGTTAACTATGAGTGTTTTGCTACTCTTTATTATTTTAGTAATAAGTCACAAAGGTTTAAATAATTGAATAATATAGGCCTAGTACTCTTACACTTATAGTAAACTTACTAAAATACCTATCTATATCTTTCTTCTGTCACTTCATTTTTTATCTTATAATTCCTACACTCTAAAGTAATTAAAAACAGCATTGGTTTAGATTTATTCTTACAGCCAAATACTGATAAAACATTGAAAACAATCTTAAATAAGGCCATGCTATAACTGCAAGTCCATTACAATTTCAACATCTGTCACATGTTAAGAGATGTTTCAGTATTTGGAACTTATAATCCTCTTCCACCACACAACTACGCCCCAAGTCTGGCAAAGATTGACTGTTATGGCAATTATGGTAATAGCAATAATTACTCATTGAAATAGAATCACACAACAATTAATCTACATCTTAAGTTATCCAGCTATTTTTAAAGGCAAAAGGGTCATAGTACTGAAATGTATAACTTAAATTGAAAATAAAAAAAATATGTAAAATACTTTGTATGTTCTTTAACATGGAATATTGATAATACAGAATGAACAGTGGAATTTAAAAGATGTATTTAATAAACAATAAGCTATCTTAAATACTAGAAATGTAACACACAAAACTATGAAATTAAATAACACCTGATTTTAAGTTAATCAAGCCATAATCTAGGTTAAAATTAAGTGGACATGAACAAAAAATTACAAAGCACTCCAAACCTCAAAAAAAGAACCATATAAAAATTACATTAATCAAAAACAACATAACTCAAAATTTTCAGTCCCTTAATATTAAATCTACTTTTTATTTAAATAAATTCAATCACAATTATACTTTTTTAAATATGATAAAAAAATAAACCTGCGTAAAGAATGCCTTGTTGCTGAACTGCCTAAAGCACAATTTATATTGCACAGTATTTTTTGAAACAACATTACTCCACAGTGTATCTGGACGCTGTTCAAAGCCAAATAAGAAGCAACAAAGACTGTGTAAGACATAAAAGCAAACAATATTCATTTTGATGTTATCATGCATTAGCATTTTTAGAACTGAATAATTACTTGCTGGTAAGGCTGTTTTACAAAGCGACATATCTTCTTAAAAGTGAACCTATATACTTACCATTATTTAAAATAAAATATTCACCTTAAAATATAATTGTGATCTGAGAAAACTCCATTAGACCGTCTTACGATTTTAGATAGTAACAATTTAGACAAATTCATTTTTTTATTCTTCACCCGTTTCTGTTAATTCTTTTAACTTTCTCTTGAACTCGGGTATTTGGATACTTTCACGAACACGTCACTTGAAAACATTAGAATGACCTTTCGGTCATTGTAATAATCTGATTTAAATGAAATGTGAGCAAACGTTATGTTATATAACTGAAATAAATAATTGCCGTAAAAAATAATCTATAACACTGTTGTTAATTACGTCTGTTCTTGTTATGAATGAATGAAAATGAATATGAGGATTATTTTTATTATGACTGATCTGATGATGACAGTATCCGTAACGCAATGTCAAATTAAGATTTGTCATTTGACACTGTCAATTAAGGTTTTGTGTCAGCTGTCAATGTCAAAAAAACCAAGGATCAGTTCAAAAATTATGGAATTCGTATGAAATTCAAAAACTTGGGAAAGTAATGAAATAGTACTCAGGATAATTATTTACAGTCTTAACATTTTATCTCACGCTCTAAAGACGGTCAGGAATAAACCATACAACTGTCCCGATGTTTTATTTCATGTTTATTATAATCATATGGTTTTTGCAGGTCTATAATTGTAAACGTATTTTTTTTTACTTTTGTATAATTTGCAATAAATAAATAAATAATATCATATAGTCAACATTTTGCAAGTACTAAGTACTGTATTAAAGCTATGATTAGTAAGAGAGAAGTTACACTCTTGTATTAGTTAAACAGCCATACGAAAAAAACCGCGCTGTGGCAAAACGCTAACCGTTTCTTAGAAATCTACATTTGACCTAATTCTCAGCGGTGATAACACGAAGAAAAAAATTTAACTTATTTGTATTCATGTACTGGGATGAAATATTTCATACAATACTTACTCTTATCACCAACATTAATCTTATGGCAAAGATGGAACACATTATTCAAAGATTTTTAAAAAAGAAATCTACATACATAAATATTTATTAACGTACTCTTTTCAAGTTACAGATTCAATCTGTTAGATACGAAAATAAGCCAAAGCTAGTTTTACGCATACATTGCATTGCGTTATGTTCTGTTTTTATTCAAACTGTCATGTGGAATTAAGATGTGAAATATAAAATGTAAAAAAAAAACAGCAGTCGAACTGTTGCCTATATAGTAACGATGCCTACAGTGAAATGCAGCTCAAAAAATGGTTGCATAAAAACCGCTTTATTAAATACGATTGCGCCTGATTACAAAGAATTGCAAAAGTAACTAATTGATTTTCGTAAGTGTTTAATAGTGAAGTTAAAGAGCATTTTAATGTACAAAGAACCGTTGGTGAGGCATTAGAAGAAACTTAATTAGTAGCAGAATATGCGTTATATCAGATTATAATCTGTCCTAGTCCCTGATAAGTATAATCGTTTCGTAATAACAGACATTAACCAAATCAAACATTCGTACTTTATAGTTCTTGATGCACGCCTCGACTCAGTGGTAGACCCTAAAAAGTTCCGCCAGTAAAATTTTTGCGATTGTACTCTTTTGTACCTTGCTTTTTCCTTCTTTATGGACATTAATAACACTGGCAGAGGTCTTTGGTTAATTTCAGCATCTTTTATTAATATTTCATACAGATTATCTAATTAGTTCTTCACTGTTAATTGTGTTGTATTTTTGTCGCCGTGGATATTATATAAATTGAATTAAACAAAACGAAAATTGGGTGTATTCGTTTTTATTACATTTTTAACCTAAATCTTATAAATTAATGTAATTACAACACTAACACGATTAATCAATTCCTATTGAATTATAAAAAAACAGTAATTTTTTTGATACCAACTAGTTAAAAGAGCTAGAAAATAAAAATTCTACGAAGAATGTACAGAAAATAATAGTGATGTAACAATAATTCGAGCAAGTATACATGAATATTTTCCCCGGTTTTTAATACATTTTGTGCTGCAAAATCTAGTACTGGTTCTACTTTAAGCAGGGAATCTATAATAAAGAATTCCATAATCAGATATCACTAACTCGTAATAATGGTTCTTAAAACTTGGTAGTATATGAATTAATTAAGGGGTGCATAAGAACATTTTGAAGAATTAAGGGCCTGTCCCACCACTGGCTGATAGAGGCTGAGATAGCGTAAAAATTACGCCACTGTTAAATAAGGGAACGAAATTAGATAATTCCATCAAATATACACGTTGGATTGTTATCAGACAATTTACAATTTGATGGGACAGGCCTTTATTATATTCTAACAATCTTTTGCATTTATAAAAACTATAGTAACATAAAAAGACCAATAGTTAAAATTTACAATTAAACACTTCGCCTGAAGATATTATCTAATATTTTGAAGAACAGATCGTGCGGTAAGCCTCTAGTGACCTGTTGTATTTGTGTCCTAAGGAGATCGTACGTCGCCTCCTCGTATACTGAATAAGTATGAGGCAGTTGCAACTCTTCATATAAATCTTTAATCCTGGCAACATCTTCAGGTTTAGAACTGCCGTAGTGTTCTTCCATTATCTGCCGTTGCTCCAGTGTTGCCCTTTGTAATGCAACGACAGCAAGCCACGTACATTTTCCCTCTTGAATATCACAGCCATCTTTGCCTATTACCGCTGGGTCGCCAAAGCAGTCTAAGAAATCATCCTATAACGAAAACAATCATTTATTTTACATGGTTACGTCACTGTGGTAGCCGTTGCCTTTGTTCTCGTGGAATAAGAAAAGGAGTCTTAATTTTGTATCCGAATATTTTACAACTAGCTGTTGCTCGCGACTTCGTGTGAAATTAAAAGATATTAAATAATCTAGTGCACATTACTCACTGATAATGTAACTTTTTATGGTGAATTTTTAAAATCGGTACAGTAGTTTTTAAATTATTTCAATACATACAAAAATACAAATCTTTTCATTTATTCCTTTTTATTTATTCTTTATAAAACAGGAGAACTCGATAACTCAAACCTTATATAACTTAATAACCTCTATAACTTTACCAGACCCGCCAGTTTTTAAGTTATTTCAATACTTATTCTTTATAACAATAGTAGGTATAGACTAGAAAAAATTGCAAGTAATCTGAGTGTAAAAATCTAACCTGAATTTGGAAGAATTCGCCCATTTCCAAAAGGATGTTCTTCGCTTGTCTGTGTGTTTCCGGGTCATCGATTCCCGACATCAGTAGAGCCAGCCCCACTGGCATTTGGAATGTGTAGTACGCAGTTTTGTATTTTGTGATCGCTTCGTATTTTTCCATTGTGAATAATGATAGATCAGGTTTATCAGTCTTTGACAACTGCTGCTCCAAGTGGTGACCGATGGAACACTTCAACAACATCTGTGAATTAATCAATATCTATAGTTAATACATGAAGTACCACAAACTTATCGTCAGAGTTCACTTTTAGAATTTAAAGTATTAAAACATCCTTTATAGAAAGGTACATTTACTGACATAGGGAAAAGTGTAGTTTAATAGTGATAGTTTTAGCAGTGATCGCCGTATCAGGAAAAAAGAAGACTGATATGTGTTTTTTTTTTCCACACTACCGCATCACTAACTGTCCCCAAATATCGGGAGCTAAAAGAACCTAATCAATTATAATACTCTACTTTAATCTTTATTTAAAACAATGTTTCATGATCATGATCAATTTACTTAAAGCTAAGTCGTCTATTGATTCTGGCAAGTAGACAGTAGTGTTTTTAAATAATCCGTATTATTTTGTTACCTGTTTATTCTATCACTCTTACCTCATTAAACATTTCCAGAACATTCTTGTAGTAAGATTTGGCGGAGAAATGACGTTTGAGCGTGGAATACATGGCGGACTGGACTAAGACTGCGTCATTGATGCCGGCGAGGCCGACGTCTGGACGGCGGTGCCAGCAGGGGGCGCCGCGGCGCATCTCCGACCCCTCCATTATATCGTTCAGTAGAAGCTGATGAGTGTGGAACTGTAAAAAGTTAGAGAGATTACATTTTTTGACTGAAGACTACTAATATTTTTCGCGGTTCAAGTATATCTCGAAGTCTGAAACTGTCTGCCAACTGAACTTATCGCTTCTATCGATAGCTATCGTTAAGAAAAGTTAAAAGAATAACAACTCTTATTATCTTCACTATGAAAAAACTTGAAACGAATATTACCAGGAACAATTGTAAAGGCACCGTCTATATTTGGACGTCGCCTTAAAAATAAATTATGTGCGAATTACGTCATAACCACACCTACAATAGAAGTTCAAATTCAAGGTCAAGTTCAAGATTTTTAATATCATTGCAAAAATCGAAGACAGTTTTTTTTTATATTTTTTTAAAACGTTATTTAAATTGATGAATACTATTATTTGTTTTAATTTGAAAGTAAAATTTAAAATAATATTAATTTCAGATTTCAGTTGTCCTTACTGCTGTTTCTTTTACCGTTTTAAAATGTAACTTTGTTTAATTTTTTTTCCTGTACAATATGTCTTAAAAATAAGATTACTAATATACTAACGAGTAAATGGTAATTTTTATAAAAACAATTATTACATCGAAAATTTTTAATCTTAAAAGTTTATGATAATGCATTCCAAAGTTATTATTTTTTGATTTTCGATTAACTTCGCAGTTTTCGTATTCCTTTACAAAAAAATGAGGAATAAATGAACAGCGGAATATGCACAACAATTATACACATAAGAATGGTTAATTTTTACTTTTTATGATAAATGGTGTTTACGATTCTGTTAATTATTTATTATTGATTTTTATAATTACAAGCATTGTTATTATTATGCAGGTGAAAAACCAAACAAAACAATAGAATACATTTATATTTCTTCTTTCGTTTTTTATTCTATCTACTTAAAAAATACACTGGAATGGTTATTTTAGAAACCAATTTTCAGCGAATCTATAGTAAAGGTTGCCCTAAGTATGAAAAGACTGTGCGGCAACAAACAAACCGGCTTAAAATACACTTCTGGTATTGTGGTGTACAACTGTGAATAATTTGGTATTCATAATGAAGATGAAAAGATAACCGGTTAAGTAGCTATATTTTTTTTAATCTTAATATTTCCAGTCAATTATTTTTTGCTTTTTACTATTAACATACAATGCTTATAAAAAAAATGAAGGCAATTAATTTTTAAAACAATAAGAAGCAATAGTCCAGTAAGGTAATTTTTACTTTTAAACTGAAGTCAATGTCAATGCCAATGGTTCCAGAATTTTTACAAAGGTGTAAATTATTTCAAACTAGCTATTGCTTGCGACTTCGTTTGCGTGCCAGATAGCCTATGTTACTAACTGATAACGTAGCTTTTTAATTATGTAAGATTTTTTGAAATCGGCCCAGTAGTTTTAGAGTTATTTCAATACATACAAAAATCCAAAAATACAATTTTTTTTATTTATATTAGTATAGATTACACATGTGTTCTGTATTTTACGGTAGGCCATGAAATGGAACCCAGTAATATTTGCCTACATGTTTAAGTATTTTGTTTACAAACATCGTACTACTTGCTGCGTAGAACACAAAGGTGTGGCGATATACAGGGGAAGTGAACTGCGCAGTGCAGTCCATCTTGAGGCGTAAAAAATAGTGACACATTGATAATAAAAAAAATATACCTAACTAGCTTTTGCCCGCAACTTTATTCGCATGGTGTTAAGAAAAAAAAAATGGGAGCCTATGTGCCTCTTCCAGACTCTCTATATTATACCAAATTTAATCGAAATCCGTTCAGCCGTTTATGCTACAAAATCTAACAAACATCCATCCATCTAATAATTTGTATTTAAAAAATTAATATGATTAATTACCATTTCCGTGCACCATCCCATAATATTCGCCAAATGTATATTCTCTGGCGTCATATTGTCAGGTTTCTCAAGCATCTTGTACGCAAGTACGGTGGCTAGACCTCGATTCTTCTTTCCATTTGGTACATTGTACTGCAACAGCTGTAACAACATAAGTTTAACTTAAGTGTATAGAATTTAATATCGATTGCTCTTTTAAATACATATTTGTACAATTTAACACGTATTAAGGTTTTAAAGTTAACTCTTATAGACGAGTTAGTAAATCATTTATTAGTACACTTAATTGTAATGTATAAAATTCACTTTAAAATATATCATACTAGCTTTCGCCCGCGACTCCGTCCATGTGGAATTAAAAAAAAAGTGAGTAGCCTATGTTCTTTCAGACTATCTTCTACATCTATACCAAATTTCATCGAAATCCGTTCAGCTGTTTGAGCTACAAACTCTAACAAATATCTATCCATCCATCTAAACTTTCGCATTTATATTATTAGTATGATTGTGATTATACTGTTTTGCACCTTGTACCTTCTTTATGGACCTTAATAACAGAAACAATAATTTTCTAACTTTTCCATGTGAATGTCATGGTCAAATTTAATAAGTCTATACTATTATGTATGTTTAATAACCATCATTTAAATATAATTTTGTATTAAAACTAACATACATTATTTTTTATAGAACAAGCAAATATAAAAATCAATCAATTCAATAGATCCTGAACAGAATCATAATTTTATTCAATGGAAGAATATTGAATCTATATTCTTTTGTATATAACTTTCAATAAGCTACCTGAGATCTAACAATAGATTGTGATTGTAAAATAACGTGTGTTTTCAATGGTTAAGTCTACGAACTTAATGGACAACAAAGGTACAGTGCCTTTTGTTTGGCGTTTTCTATTGCATATTACTACTCGTAACTATTATGCATTGGACAGGTGTATGCACTGCGTAACTCCAAACATAAAAACTTGTTTATCTCAATTTTAAGGTACAGAGAGAGAGAGAGGGAGAGAGAGAGATATAAGCCTCAGTGGAGTAAAGAGAGGCTCATCAATAAAATCGTACCGGATTCTTCATCAATTTGGTCGTATCTATTGAAGGGACTATAAGAGTGGGCTTTAACTAAACTATCGCATAACTCTTATGTGATTGTCGATTGTTTCGCAGCCAATTAAACTGTTTAGTTGCACATCTAAAAATCGAGTAGTGTGCGAACTTCCATACAGGTTTATAGGAATTGAAGCGCGACTAAACAGTTTTGCGATAGTTTAGTCAACGGAGTGCGCACGCTCTACGTATGTTATTCTGGTAGTTATTGAAATATTATCGAGTTCATTCATAAATACCAATAAATTATAAATATGCTCTATATTATATATAATATGATTATAAATTATGCTCTACCATATTTGATCCATGCTACCTATTTTGATCCCATATGACAAAAAACTGGTCGCTTTTTTTACATGTTCCTGCCGATGAAGAAAAAATACCAATCTCTTTGTATATGTATATGGGTTTTTATACAAAATGTCTGTTAAGTATCTAATTGGGGAAAATTACATTTTATATGGTTGACATCAGAAATATCTGATGACCATCGACCCTTACTTTTTATGACGTCACGACATTTACAGCAATTTAATTTCAGAATTTCTTCAACTACTCTTTTAGCCAATTCTTTAAAGTGCTAAGATTCTAAGTAGTATGTACATTTTAACATATTACTGTGATTGTCCCACGTAATTAACACATTTTTATTTTTTAAACGAATCTATCGCATCCAAATTCAGAACGTTTCACACATTGCTATATAGATTTAAGTCAATCAATGTGGTTTTTTACCGAACTAGTAAATTTATAAGGATGTCGTTTAAATCTCGCTGGCCAAGACCTGTTTGACTGGTTCATATATTTGCGTCGCAAATAGGTTCTATATTATTCTGTCTTAAGACTGACAAAAAACATAGAACGTACCTTAGCCAACCACTTGCTGGCTTCCGGCACGTCAATATGCTTGCCAGTCTTTGTGAGGTCCCTCACGATGTCCGGGAAGCAAGCCATGAACTCCCGGGACTGGTCTTTGGAGACCGCCAGTCCGCGAGCGGCCAGTGGCATTTGCTGCGGCGTGAGGGTCGACAGGAATCTAGAGATAAAAACTTCAATTCATCGACTTGGCCCAATCCATATTTACACAGTAGTTTAATGTTTTTTGAAAGGGTAATTAATACAAGTGATTGAAATTAGAAAAAATACCATACGAACATTTATAATTATTTACGATGCAACATTTCAAACGTTTAATATCATAATTTTCTAGGTTCTAAAGTGCTAGTAGTAAATTAAATGGACATAGTGGGAACTTAGTACGACGTATGTACATGCATCGCTATACGAGCTTGTGCGTTACGCAAACTGCTCCAGCAAAATGAGTTCACTGACCTGTGATATTTCTGCAACTTCAACAACTTCTTAGGTAGACCGATTTCATCGTTCTGCGGTGACTTGTTCGCGGATTGATCGAGCCTCGGTGCCATTGCATCGGAGTTAGTAACGCTTGTTGTCTTGCTAATTTGCCGGCGAATTTCATTTTTGTAGACTTGCAGAATCTTGTCCAAACTTTTTTTCGTTGAAAACATTCTTGCAATGGACGCAACGATAAGTGTATCGCAGTTTGAATGCAGTAAAGGTGTTAACTCTTTCTATTAAAATTAACTTAAATTTTATAAACACAACGTCTAATCGTAGTAAATACGTGCGATCAACTGTCTGTTTCAGCAACGACTGACTGCTGACTGATTCTTTGTTATGTTTTGCTTCGCTCACGCTGCTTCCAGCGCCTCGCTCAAAATAACCAATAGGGACGCGTTGCATTGTTTACATTCAGCTTTATCGACATCGATAACACTGTCAGAGATTACGTGACATTTGTAGTTCACCCACTTTGTAACAATTGCCTACATACATTTTATAAAACAGTGTTTTCAACGGATTAAAATAATTTGCCGGATTAAATAATTTATAAATCATTTGCTTCTTATATCGCAAGTATTTTTATCATGTATTTTATATCATAAAGTGTGTTACCATTGTCATATATAATTATCTAATTAAATAAAGAAATACGTTATCGATAACCACGAAAGTAGTGTAAGTAAGAATCAAAACATGGCGACCGCTCCCCTCCCCTTGACGCCGGTGGCACGAGGGCGACGTCACGTAGGCACCGCGCGGACCGTGTTGGCCCTCGGTAGAATACGACGAGCCGGCGCCGGCTGTTTCACCCAAGCGACGGAGTTAAAACTCGTTTGTGACCCAAAACATTTCGTCCACACATCGAATGTATCACGTATACCTTTGATAATGTATAACAATTATCAGATGTTGACAATATTTGAAAGTAATAACGATATGCATGTGTTATTACTTGAATATTTGCAATGATTTGTTTATTCTTTTGGATATAAAGCAAATGTCAATCAAATATTGTTTGTGTAATTAAATGTTTAACACGTCCAATACAAAAGTAAATTAGCAAGGCTAGTAGGCTACAATGTAAAAGCAATATATTTGTCAGCACTTTTTGATTCCCATTTATTGTCACTTTTCAGATCGACAATGTTATGTTTTTCCCCAGACTTAATTCGCATAATTTTGCTTCCTTATTTTACGTTACCATTGTTGTATTATTAAAATTTGTAGATTGAAAAGGTACTAAAACAACAATAAAACCCTAATTCTCATTTGAAGGCTTCCCAAGATTTTTTGTAAGCAATGAAGTTAACATTATGGTTCCTAGAAACGCCGTCAGATGGGTAGGTCTCTAGTACCTATTGTATCACAAGAACAATGTCCTGTTACAACATTTATCTAATAGTGTAGGACTAAGCGAAATCACGCAGCTAAAGCATGCAAGAGGCATAAAATATAAATTAAAACCATTATTTTATGAGTTACGTGACTACACATTGGAACTAGACTTGTGTGGAATGAAATCTAAACTAAAGCAAAATGTATTAGAAAATTATCCCCGATAGCACGCTTTTGCCGAATGTTCATGTACATTTTAGTATACGACTTAATGGGCAATAAACGCATCAATATAAGAAACATTTTTACAACTAACTTTAGGTATACCGAGCACGGCTTCGTATCGTGTTAGCTGTACCCAAGGTTATTTTATCATGAATAACAAATAGCCAGTTTTTGTTCAGATGCCAAAAAGGATAAATTATAAATTGCAATGTACTGTTTACATTGCTGTAAATGTATGTAATGTTGGTAGCATTTAACGTTGTAATCGTTCAAGGATGTGTCGCATTTAATTGAAATTTTGCAACACATACAACGCTGGAATTAATAAATAGCGTTGCTTTGTTTACAATGTTTGAGGCGCCTTATTTACATAATCGTCTGAGTTTATGTAAACGGATGATGTTTATATTGGTTTATTAGTTTTTTATGTTTGCTGACACTGAACTGCTTGGCGACACCGTTTTGTTAATTACCTAATATCGTTTATTAAATATTTGATTAAAAAGATAACATCCGATAAAACCTACGGGTTACTAGCCCTATCTGAAGTCAAGGTCAAACTAGTAATCCAAGGTGAACAGAATCGTCATTACATTTTTAACAAGTCTCATATTATTTTTAACTTCTATCCTCGCGACGTATGTAATCCGCGTGAAATCAAAAATTAACAAAAAAGCGTAAGTTACTCAATGATGAAGTAGCTTTTTAATTTTTTCTTTTTGATTTCATTTGAGTTTCATTTTTTCAATATTGGTTTTATTTAATTTATAAAAATTTTTATACTGCTACAGCAGTTACAGCTAAAATAAATTCAGGATAAACATAAGTAATCCAAATATTTTGTCTGAACAATGCACACCAATGTAACAAAAAATCAAAGATGGCTGCCAAGGAATTTGTCATCTTCAGAGCTGCGGCCTTTTAACAAAGAAAATGGATGTAAGTAGAAAGTTTTATTTATCAGATCGATTTAGCTCTTAAGGATACTCTTTCAGGTATCGTGATTCGCGATAAGAGTAGCTGAGGCACGCTGGTCACGTTTTATTCTGCATGTAGTGTACAAGATAAGATAATGTTTACACCGAATAGTATGAAAGTGTATAATTAAAAATGCTTTTACTGGACATATTGCTGCAATCTAGCCATTGACGATTAAATTTATCTTTATCATACGACTAGCTTTTGCCCGCGACTCCGTCCGCGTGCAATTTAATATAACAATAAAGAAATGAAAAATACAGACTGTTACTCAAAGATAAATTTGCTTTCTAATGGTGAAAGAATTTTAAAATCGGCCCAGTAGTTTTTGAGCCATTCATTACAATCAAACAAACAAAGTTTTCCTCTTTATAATATTAGTATAGATACCAAAAGCCAGATTTTTTTATCACTGGAACAACAACTGTCCTAAAATTCATATTATAGATCAGAATCTAAGTTAAACTATAAAATGTCTCTTTTATCTTGACCTAGTCATCTTGTCATAGGTAATTGTTACTTTTACCTTCTAATTAAATATTAAATGCTTTGAATAAATCAATAAACAACCACAGCATCTTTGCTCTTAATATTATCCTTTTATTAAAGGCCAGTCATTCTATACTTTTTAATAACTGTAAAATTAGGTTCTTTTTGGAAAACGGAGATAAAGGAGTTTGTCTTGGCTCATAAAAAAAAGAGTAGCCCTTGTTACCTGAATAGGTTGCAATTTTGTTAATCATCATGTTGAATGACGTATTCTTTATTGAATTATCACGTTTGCTAATCTAACATAACCTCTGAACTGACATGTCGGACGGCTATCGTTTCATCTGAGATCAACGATGACCGTACGATGTGACCGCAGCCAAGGTCATTGGATTAAAACAAAACATGCACAATTAATTCATCAGCGCCGATGTTAATCTCCCGCGTCGATCGCGACGTGTCTGGAAACAAGATGGCGGCAACAGTTCCCGTCATTATGATAATATAACACGAGATCAGCACATTCAGGTAGTACAGTATCACAGAACAGTACTGCTATTGCATGAACGTATCTCGAGAAAGAGGACCCCCTAACAAAGCTACCTTTAGGTAACTGGCGAATCATCTAAATGTGTCAAGATATATAAAATATAGCACGTGATATGCACATGACATATCGAAGTTAGTTTGCAATACATTTCAAACTTCGATTAGCAACATTATAATGTTACTTTATCTAAGTGTTTTGTTCCGTTTTAACAGTAAATGTGCAAATAATAGCAGTACTGCACTGTCTACTGTTCTACCTCAGCCTGCCCTCCTGTGAAAATAGTATTATGACTGACGCTGGACCTCGTCTGTTCAAACGCACTGCGAATGTGATAATCAGCTTCCGGAGTTTGTTTTAAAATTAGCATTAACACGGCCTAATACTAATTACTATAATATAGATCGTTTAAAAACAACATGAAGTCAGATCTTGTTATTATGGAATAAACTAATTGATGACCATACTCGCTGTTTATTTATAAAAAGATTTATTGAACTTGTTAGTCTATGGTTGTCTATTGTCGACAGAGGCCTCGCCAACTGGCCTAGTGGCCATCACTTAGTAAGATTTTGGATGTACTGTCCCGGAAATTCGCAGTTCTGTGCAATGTCTAGCCGTTTCGCACTAACCGACATTTTTTCGCACAGACACATTTATAAGCTGTGTTGTACTGATATTTTTCGCATCTCGTTTCAAAATTTTCAAATGATTATAGCTTTCATGATGGAGCACTGCCAGGTTTACCGATTGTACATACTTAAGTATCACAAACTGTATTACTTTGGTTTCTTTTTAGGATGCTAGGTCTAAATATAAAGTTAACTGTTAACCTCATTTAGACATTTTAATTAAACGACTATGATTTTTTTCAAATTCATTCATTTTTGGCGTATATTCTTTTATAGACTTTTTAACTCTTTAAGAAAACAAACTAACATAAGCAGCCACTGACTAAACCTTAGACCTGACCTATAGCGGATTGGTTTTCAAGTTTCAAGCATACGTTTAGGTACAGTTTAATATGGTTTCAATATTTGTACTTGAAGTATCGTTCATGTAGTTGACATTATTTGTGCGTTGGTCGGTGTCAGTAAACACGGGCTATGGAGAATTAGCGATGCGTGTCTTTGGTGTGATTCGCTCACATCGCTCTTCTATTGTCACTCCCCCCCTGTATGTGATTTAACTGAATTATGGTGTAGAAATGACCACAATTTAGATTTGGCTGGGCAGATGTGCACCCGTGACTTGTGACCTGCCGTGATCGTGTGGACACTGAGTGGAAACGCTGACGTTTGGAAAATATACATCCTGTATTACTCAGTAAGTTTATTTTGTTACCATACTAAACTTCTACATTTTTTTAATATCAGTAGGTTTTTGTATTTCTTTAACTATTCCAACTAAGCTCTAGGCTTCTGCTAGGATATGGCTTATGACGATAGTCGAATGGCGGGATTCGAACCCTCGACCGCAAGAGCGGTAGTCCGTACTCCAAACCTTTAGGCTATTGGCGACATTAAAAATAGTATTAAATATTTACATTTTTAGGTGCAGTTGGTAATTATAAACGTTTTTAATTATACGAAATTTCGGGTTTTCTACTAAAAAGTATTTGTTATAGATTAGAATTGAAAGAAATTGTTAAAGCGTCAATAACCATAAGGTTATCGTCGTCGTCAAGAATTGCTTTCTGGTTTACCCATAAGGGTATCGACACTCGATTGATAGTCGTGGCTTCAAATACGCCTTTTTGACTTCTTGAACATAGTCAGAACAGTAAATGAAAATATTTGACTATATACCATGTATTAAAATGAAATTTAACATAAAATACATATTTTTTCCATACAATTTTGGGGTATTGTAGGATTTTAACCAAAATCTCGGTTGTACTTTTCACGGATTGTGTCCTGCATGTTGGCGCCAAAATATCGCTAACATTAATTGTTAAAAACGTTTCCTGCGTAGCTGATATAGATTGGTAATAACTGAAACGACTAAAAAGAAGGTGTTCGGACCCTAATATTAGTTACATATTTAGTTACTTAATTACAAAAAACGTTAATTATACACATGTAACAATTAATTTTAATAAATTTATTTGCGACATTCTTGGCAAGCAAGTCGCAACCAAGAAAAATCATTTATCTTATTTGTACAGAATATCAATGACCTGTCTGAATACTTAACAAAGTACTTAGTGTACCTAAGTTATAAATATCCGAGTTACAACTAAGCTATGGCAGGTCGGCGCCGGCGCAGTGTTGTGTGACTGCATTATGCAACTACGCACTAGAGTCACGCACGTGCATACATTGAGTACAAAATGTATGGTATATGGATAATTTTAATTGGTCATGTTAAGAGCGGGCGGACATTTGACAAAACTATCACACAACAGTTGTGCGATTGTCGATTGTTTCACATCCAATTCAACTGTTCCACAATTAAAAATCTATTAGTGTGCGCACCTCGATATAGGTTCATAGTTTAGTAAAAGTGTACTCACTTTAAGTAAAAAAGGTCAACGAATATTAAATGTTCAAACTTTATTCCGCGTTTGGCGGAAATGAACGCAGTAGTTACTGCGTAGGTGGGCCATTGCGAGGAATAAAATGTCCACAGAGATATCTCTTCCCTACAATCCTTTACAGAAAATCGTTCTTGCAGCTTTTCGTGCGATATTGCGTACAACCATAAAGTTCGAATAGTGGATCAATAAATGTATGCTAAATATTTTGTAGTAATTGTAATAAAAAGTTAATATTTAATATTTAACTAATATATTAAGCCTCCAATAATTAGTAAATTTCTTAACAAGTTGTAGCTAAGTAAATTATCATGAAAAGTGAATTAAAATTTACTATGAAATTATTTGACCTCTACAAGTCCTTGTAGCATTACAGGCTCGCGTGACTCCTAGACTATTTTATCGTGAACATTTTAATCTGCATAACCTTGACAATGTAACATTTCATCCTTATATAAGATAGATTCAATTAAAGAAAATAAATTACCGCTAATACTGAAACACTCAACTTTAATTACGAGAATAACATTGCATTTGGCAGAAATAAACGACATTACCGCATACAATTAATAAAAAAACAATATTTTTACTTTTCAATAAACAGCTTTTGAATATATTTCTTTACGAAAAAAACTTTTCTGGATGTCAAACATTAAAAGTAAAAAAGTAAAATATTGAGTACATATGTGTTACCTTCGTTTGTAACTTCAGATTTTAATGGAAATAACTAATAGTAGAAGGGTTTTAAAGAAAATTAAAAACATAAGTAAACTGAATTATCATACAATATATCTATCTCTCAAAGAAACTTCTCTAACTAAAATTTAATTCCTCAAATATCTATATCGACTTGTAGAACAAATACTATGTTGCATGTGACTCTAAGGATGAGTAATCCATGTCACATTTAAAAATCTATCGTCATCCCTTACATTCACTTTCAAAATGTAGAGACAATATGCTTCAAAACAAATTACTGCAGTCGAATTTCACTGCAATATAAAGCCTGCTGAGGACGCTCAGTTGTACAGATTGTATCTGATTTACAGTTCAATTGGCAGTTAAAATTTCTCCTGCATGAAACTATTAGAACTGAGTAACGGCTTTAAAATATTATTGTACTACAAACAAAACATGACCTATATCGTTACTAAATTGTGAAAGATTCTTCCGGGACGGCATTCTTTCCCATGGCCCATCCTAGCCCATCCCATATGTCTACAATAGGCAATGCTTTCACACTATTCCGTTATGGCCCATTGGGTTCTATGAAAGAAATCAATGTAGAGGAAACAGTTTCCGCATCAAATTGTAGGAAATAACTAAATGGGTGTAGGTCGCTTTCACCGATTTCAGGATTTCGTAAAACTGTTAAATGGGCCGACGGTTGTGAAATTAGTTCGCTGTAAAAACGTTGTGTTATTGAGAAATTGTGAAACCTTACGTGAATTTAGATATCGTTTTAATGTTTTCATTCTTAAAGGGCTTTTGATGAATATTGCGATATCGAAATACTTGATTTTTACGTTATTTTTAAATACCTCTTAGGAATGACGTAGCACTTGGGTAGACCATCTTAAATTGTCTCCCCTTACGTCAATCAACTCGATTCTTGTACAACTTAATAATCATATTTCATACTTACTATACTTACTAATTACTTACTTTACTTACTAATATTATAAATGCAAAAGTTTAGATGGATGGATGGTTGGACGTTTGTTAGAGTTTGTTGCCTTAACGGCTGAACGAATTTCGATGAAATTTGGTAGAGGTAGAGGATAGTCTGGAAGAACATATGGGCTACTCACTTTTGTTTCTTTTTATTCCACGCGGACGGAGTCGCGAACGAAAGCTAGTTATTTAATAAATCAAAATATTAACAACTTAGACTGAATTTGACACAATAGAACCGATGTCTACCTTTTAAATAAAAACAAAAATATTCGTACCATTCTTTTGTTTAAAAAAATAATAGAAAACCTTACTATCAATAATGTTTTTCACTTACAGCCCCTATATAAAAGTAGGCTTAAACCTTGTGTAGACGTAAACGACATTTTTATATGAGAATTGATTCCATGGCCCAGATAACTGTTTAAAATTTTAGAAGGTATGTACGTCATTAAGCGGAGTTGTTACTCACGCGAGGACATCGGTCGGACACAAAGCACCGGACGCTGGCATCCGCTTTCGATCGCGACCATTTTTTTCGGAAAAGCCGAAATTTTCATAGTCCGAGGCTTCTGGACGTTTTGTCATGTAGATTAGTGTATAGGGCTGTCAACATAAATCAAACGACGAAGTACTTGAATTCATTTTTACTAGCTGTTGCTTGCGACTACACCCGTTTGAATTTAAATAATAACAAAAAACATAGCTTATGTTACTTATAGATAAATTACCTTTATAACAGTAAAAGAATTTTTGAAATCGGCCCAGTAGTTTTTACGTGAATCGAAAACAAATAAAAAATCCAAAAATATACATCTTTCCTCTTTAAAATATTAATATAGATAGAGTAACAACCGCAGTTAGAGTCACTTAGTAACGCGTTTAGTGCAGTTTTAGTAAGTTCTACATCGAGTGACTGTTTACTTAACCAAGTAATGTAATACCTTATTTGGTAATGAGTGTCTTTGATAGAACTAATCGAAATTCTAGAAAGAATCAACTGAAATCGTAGGTTTATAAGTTATGATTTATTTGTATTGACACTTGACGGAATCTTCACACATGAGTAATCAAAATAAAAGAAAAAAAATGCACTATAAAAACTACTATCCAATTCAATCAGACACTGATCTGGACAACCATATAAATGTCGAAAATTAGAACCACTGCTGTTAGAAAAGTAAAGCAAATGTTGCCTGACTATCGTAGATCTAAATTAAGTTGACAGTTCTAGAGTATGGCAAACTTTTTTGACAGTAAAATAGCGATGCACAGCTCCCAATGGCCGCTCCCATTTCACGCGTCTCTGAACGATAACGGTAACCGCATGACCATCGGATACATGTCAATAATGTCGGCTATCAATAGAGGATAACAGTACAATATACATATATCGCATTCCTTTTTATAGCGTTAAAGTATTGTTTTGTTTGTGAGCACACTGCGAGCCAATTACGCGTGCAAAATGAAACACTGTTACGCTGAATTGCCGCTCTCATTCACTATTATAGTTCTGATATCATCAGCGTTGATGCTTTATTGATAGCTGTTGTTATTTTTTCATATAAACATTTTAACCAGCATAGAAATTGAAGTAGCCAATTCCACACAAAATTATTTTATGTTTTTTGAAAGATACGTTTGTTGTAGTAATTTAAACTATAAAGTTAAGAAATGTGTAAATGTTTTAATATTAAAATTATGTTTATATTTACTTTTACTCTATACATTGATTTGATTATAAATTTGCACTGAAACGTTAACAAGCGTATAACATTTGCCATAAATAGTTTCTTATCGTATAAAACGTGACTGGGAAAAACATTTGGACTGCGTACTAACTAAACATGTGAAATAAACTGAACATAACAAACCACACATTATGAAATAAATGAATATTATTTTTGGATTAATTAGAGGATAATTAGAAAACAATTAACCATTCTTAGTATGCGTAAGAAGGAATGAATTCATATATCACGGTTGATAGTATGGAAGAGTGTGCCTAAACCCCGGAGGGAACAGACCAGAAGATTATGTCTAAATTATTTGTCATAACTATTTGTAACAGATAAATATTTTACTAGATTGGTCTAGAATCTCATTGTTTCATCGATTGTAAATATCATGTCGATAAATCAAAACACTGCTTTGATAAAAGTAAATAACAATTGAAATATGTAGTACAAAACCGCGTTTAAAGTGACATATATTTTAACCTTGTTCTCAATCGCAGCATCAAATCATTTCGATCAACGAAGCGATATTGCAGTGGCAATATGAGCTCTGTGTAATAAAATTTCAAAACTGTAATGTTTATATACGCCATCGTCCTAAGCTACACCTAAATTATAAACAAAATTAGAGGAGACATAAGGCATAATAGCAGGAACTTATAGTCCCTGTAAAACACATATAAAAATATTAAAACGTTTCTTACGGGAACAGTAAAAATTTTCGGGATCAAAAGTAGCCTATGTGTACATCTATGCCTTTCATCCAGATCCATAATATTATTATTATATAAATATTGTAAATGTGAAAGTTACGATGGATGGTTGTTTGTTAGAGTTTTTAGCCTAAACGACTAAACGGATTACGATGAAATTTGATATACATAGATGGAGAGAATCGACTATTCTCTCCAGTAAGGATACACAGGCTACTCACTCACGCGGGAGAAGTCGCGGACGAAAGCTAGTTTAAGTTACATTGCTTTATATAAAACTATGGAATATTTATAGTATGTTTCATAGTTGTAAATTATAGGTATATTATCAATTCCTGACTATTTAATTCAAACAAGTTGTTTACGATAGTTTTATTTATTTATCTCAAGGTAACTGATCACGTTACTCGAATGTCATTGTATCACAGATCAAAACAAAGGGGCAAATCTCACTGGAACATAATAATTGATACTATAAATAATACATGTTAAACATTATTACATAGTTCAATTTTTAAAATATTCCTAATATTTTCCTTCATTCACATGGATCTGTAAATTTGTAATTTACTCTATTTGGCGTCTAAGGTGGTCTTTATAGGCTATCGAATTTTCGAGATTTATTAAAAGAGTTGATTTTAGAACGATATATACATGATTCTTAACGGACGACTTATTTAATAATTTAACCGATCAAATTTAAATCGGAAACCTGAAACGTTTTGTCTGTCTGTCCGAAAGCCGCGTTTGTTCAGGTTATCTCCGAAACGGCTGGTCCAATTTCGATGGGACTTTCGCTGGAGGGTACCTTAGATGGATAGGCATATTATGGGCTACTTTTTTAAATTACGCCCTGTCAAAATGACGTAACGGGTGATCTGATTTTGATGGTAATTTGACTCGAAAATAGCTGGTAGAAGGTACATGCCCGTGGGAATATGATAGATGAAAAAAAATCCGCGCGCTAACGAAGTTTTCGGGCGACAGCTCGTACTCAATAAAACAATGATGTATCAATTTCAACTTATGGATATTATTTATTCTGTAATGTGTTTCTTATCCTACACATTCACAAACAATATACGACTATGACCATTCGTATAATTTCCTTTAGGTACCACATGTGAGGTCAGTGACCCGTCTCGGAGCAGCCACAACCAGACCTGAAGATGAAGCCGCGGGGAGTGGGCGTGATGCACGCTTTCACCGCTCTAACCATGCTTACTATGGCAAACGGTAATTATAATACAATTAGGACTTTGAACACTATAGCAAAACGCATATAGATCATAATTGATAGAATTTCCTATTGACATATCGATAGTCTAAAATTAAATGTCTTTAAACAAAAGAGTAATTTCAGTAGTTACGTGAATAAAGTAAACAGTAGGATAAGAAATAAGATAGTACAATAAGGCATTGATAGCAAAATCAATAATTTATAACAAACTAGCTTTCGCCTGCGATTTCGTCTGCGTGGAGTTAACAAAAAAACAAAAGTAAGTAGCCTATGTGTTCTTTCAGACTATGCTCTACATCTATGCTAAATTTCATCCAGATCCGTTTAGCCGTTTAGGCTACAAACTCTAACAAACGTCCATCTATACTTTCGCATTTATAAAATTAAGTATGAAGTATGATAGATTTGAATTAGATTCTTAGACAGCATAGGTCTAAAAGGTCTTATACTTGACTGTATAATTTAGGTATTTGAGTTTAATATGTAAGAAAAAAAATTACTGCAATACCATGCGATTTGATGGTTTGTTTTCAACGTTCGCTGTGTTCTCAGATAACTACAATGCTCGTTGTTGTCATTAAATCGTAAACATACCGTAATAAAGGCCATTTGTGTTGTCTACAACGTATTTCCTATATTGTTTACAAATATTAAGTTATAATTCCTGATCTATTACTTACTAGTATTATTGGTCTTTGCTGACCAACAATTATATTACCTTGAAGAACATTATATTATTCTAAACGTTACAATAAATAGTTATTAACAAGGTTAATAGAGAAGTTAGAAGATAATAGAAAGGTAAAGATATTAAAAAGAACATAGACAAGGCATAGTGAACAAAACTTTTTGACAGGTAATTTCTCTGAAAGGTACTTTAGTTGTCAAGTTTAGTACGCCACCTCGTGTCCTCCTAGTTAGGGGTGATCATGTGAAAAATGTCTCAAGTGAAGTGTCAACTATGCCCCTTCTATATATTTTTTGTCAATCTCTTTGTAGAAATGGGAATTGGATTGGAAGACAATGTGACATGTCATAGGCAGCGGCTAATTGTAGACTAACTATTTCAAAACGGTTTAACACTGCATAAATATTAATTATTATACATTTTCATTTGCATTAACTACAAAATGTGACGACAAAAGAGTTATAAAAGAGAGAGGAATTGTTTATTTAAAAAATCATTTAGTTTTACCGAGGTTAGAAATCGTGGCTAGGGTAACAACACAGGGAAAGGGAAAGCAACTGCATTTCTAGTACAATAAATTATTATTACAATAAATGTAAGTACTCTATACTCATAATACACATTCAATGAACTTGTAAATGTAAACTGTCGTCAAACAACTTTCCCTACAATTCCCAACTTTCTCTTTACATTTTCATCTATAATTCATAACGACGAATTATGAACTAAAATAAGTATTTATGAATTTAGATACTACATATTTCCAATCACTTGGTTAATGCAAAAATTATAAATGCGAAAGTTTGGATAAATGTTTGATATAGCTTGTAGCCAAAACGACTGAACGTATCTCGAAGAAATTTGGCATAGATGCAGAGGATAGTCTGAAAAACACATAGGCAACTTTCTTCCGTGACGGAGTCGCGGGTGACAGCTAGTATTTCATAATGTATCGGAACTTAATCGTATGTCTTTTTACAGCTCAAACAACGTGTAATCAAGGAATGGGTCGTGTGATGTACGAACGTTTACCAAATCAACAACTGCACGGCTTCGACGACGATGTCGTGAGTATATCACATAGTCTTATTTATCAAACATAACAAGAGGAAAATAACAGGAAGTAAAGTAAACGTTTATTTCCATATTATCGAAGTCATATCTTAGTCTATTTTTTAATTATGCAAAAACTTGCTAAAACTACGACAAAACATTTATACAATACGAAACACAGGTGATATTATGATTATGAGAATTATATAACTTGGTTTTAACGACCAAATGAAATCAACTGGAGAAAGCAATCTATTTCACTTCCTGCATTCTTAATGAACAATGATGGGAATTTTTCTTATTCATCTGATCGAAACCATGCAATGAATCAGTGGGAAAAAAATCATATAGAACAGCCCCCCTAGACAAAATGTGTCAAAATGCATAAGAATGAATACGTAACAAGCACGTGACTTATCAAATGTTATTGTCGTTTCCAATTTTGACTTTTCGATCAGCGATGGCGACAATCGAATGTTACTTTGTCTAAGGGTGCTGATCGTATGGTAGTTTGCCTAACAGAAATACAAAACAAAAATTTTAAAAAGTAATTTTAAGATGTAAATTTTATTACCAGGTACGCGAAACAGCTCCGCCTTTTCGCGTATTAGAGAAGTGTCAAGATCTATGCCTGCGCGATCGATCGGGCAACAGCCTGGTCCGTACGTGCAACTCGATAGACTTTCAACCAGGAGCGAGGATAGCGGCGTTCAGCCCTGAACCGGAGTACGAAGAGTCTACTTGCTACCTGACGAGAGAGCAAGCCGCTCCTGAGGGTATCGGCACGCTCATGATCGTCCCCAATAGTGTTCACTTCAACGAAATCTGTCTAACTTGTAAGTGTTTTAAGATTACGGTTCTACTTAATTTAATTTGCAAACGATTAATGCTACGACCATTTCCTTTTTGTGAAATTTTTAATACCTAATATTAAAAAGAAAGCCAGGGCGTAGCGGAGTAATGGCGCAACACTAGATCATTGGCATATACGTCCCATCCCTATGACATCTGTCAATGTCATTCAGAAGGTCTAAGGATAAGCGCGCCATTCTGGCGGGAATCGGTTAGATTAGTATAGAAGTAGAGTTATGTTGTTAAGATTATATTATTGTCTAAAAGTAACTTCCGAGGTAGTTCAACAAGATTTGTCTTTAAAGCTAAACACAAAATATTTTACAGTTGTTTTGGTCTTTCAAGTTTGTTGTGTTACTCATAAATTGTTTTCTTCCAGCAAATCGGCCGGAAAGGGAGTGTCCGTCACGTCGTTACGTTTTTGAACGTCACGCTCGAAAGCGTCTGAAGTTACCACCTTCGGATCTCAAAGAGATAATGGTCGCGAACCGCACCGAGTGCGAAG